AATCGCCAGAAGAAGAAATGAGCGCATTCAACTGTTTTATTGATAAGGTCGTCGTTTATTACAGCAAAAAACCCCGACGTTCTTGATTCATCTTTTCAAATTACCGATATTGGTTATGGCGCTATCATTTTTTTACTGAGCGTCACGAAATTTTGAATTGGTTTTCTGTTTTAGTTGTTTAAATTTTTTCAGTATTTCTACTCATCCGATATTTTTCTTAAAATTCTTACATCCCAGACGTGCAGAGTAACTCAATGTGTATGTAAATAGGCGAGATTGGTTTTATTGGACAAGAAGTGTACCTATGAATAGTTTTCTTATATTGTTGTTTTTGGCACGTTTCTTGTTCTTATTGTTGTTGTTATGAAAAAAAATTCCACCCCCTATATTTGGAAACACCCCCCCTAAAATGGAAAGCTGGGGAACATACTGCACATAATACATTGAGAACAGTTACCAAAATAACACGATCTGACCGCAAGGGAAATTAACGATTTTACTAGCTAACCGTAAAGAAAATTAACTAGAATACGAGCTAATGTTAAATACACTGCCGCATGAAAAATTAACAAAGAACAGATGTTTTACTTGGTGACAGCACATTTGAACCCACGTACATTTGAACCCGTAAACTGCACCCAGAGCATTTGCGTCTGAATACTTTGCAATCACCGACATATGCACCCATACATTTCCACCCATAGATTTTAGCACTCGCATATAGATTGCACCCACAGATATTTGAACCCATGCACATTTGCACACGCGGACATTTGAACCTATGTACATTTGTATCCACAAACATTTGCACCTATACACATTCGAACCCACGTACATTTGCACTCATGAACATTTGCATCCACGGACATTTGCACACATGTACATTTGCATCCATTAACATTTGCACCCACGAACATTTGCACCCATATACATTTGCATCCATGAACATTTGCACCCATGTACATTTGCATCCATGAACATTTGCACCACAAACATTTCCATACATGTACATTTGCATTCATGACCATTTGCTCCGACGGATATTTGCACCCATACATTTCCACCCATAGATTTTAGCACCCGCATGTAGAATGCACATTTAGTATGCAGGTGCAAATGTACGTGAATTCAGAGATAATGAAACCGTTTTACTTCATTCATCGGCATCCTGTTATAAATTGTGAATTGAAAAAGCCCGTAGATTAAAAAAATAACTACATTTTGTATCCTCTTATGGATGTAAATTTTACATGCTCGTAGACTTTAAAAGAACAACATTCTGTATTCTGTTAACGGATGTCACATCGAATGCCGGATTGAATGTTAGAAATTGAAGGTGTTAACTTAGAAATGCTATCGAGCATAACGCACTGTATAAAAATACTGCGAGAAAACTGGTTATTCGATAAGTTCGACGGGATGTGGTGGTATGCACCTTGACACATAAACGAAGGGCGGGCGCTGAACCGTGCGGGAATTATTTCCAGTCTAAACGCTCTATCAAAATATTAGTCTTTGTCCAGTCCAGACAAATCCCTCCAAATTATCCCCGTCTATTCAATCGACCTTAGTATTCAAAATAAAAGTGACGTAAACAAAACGATTTTAACTTTAGCTCTTATGGGGAATGTGATCACCCAACGAGCATATATACAATGAGTGGAAACTTCCAAATATTTGCTCATTAATCCATCGTGCCCTGCATTTTCACGTCGTCCAGGTAAATGGTTCGTTGCATATGAAGAAAGCACATCGTTCGCTGCAAAAATCCCTGGTTTCAGCTGGGTCGAGTGCGAAATTGGCCGTATTGAGGCTTTTAATTTTTCGATTCGTGTTCGGTTTTGGGTTTCGAAGTATGGTACGTTGAAAGCATACTAACTATAAGCATGTGCAATACATATCTTAGGCAGAAAACGTAGCTACAGAACAGAATATGAGTACGGTTATTGCTGTATTTATTCATTGATATAACATGGGACTTACATATTTATCCAGGGGGAGAGGAAAGCCGAAAGCCTAATAAATGGCGAACCACGGCCTCTCCAAATAGCTCTGTGCTTCATATGAACCCCCAGGCTGCCTGGACTTTGTGAGCTATTCGTATACTTATTAAAAATACTGATTTTAACTATAAATTAATCAGGGATATCTTGCCATTGAAATTTAAAATTTGCCATTTTCATGTCTTGTGAATTTACACAAAAAAATTGTTTTTTATTTCATTATTTAGAGTACATTTTGTTATCATTTATGATTTTTGCAAGTATATTATTTAATTTTAACGATGCTTCATATATATAGATACTGTTGATTTGGATGCAATTATACTTTTGTGTAATCAATAGTGAAAATAGAATTTGAACAAGGGTCGCAGCCAAGATTTTTCCAACGGGGTGAGGGGCATACAGTGAAATTAAAACAGTGCGCCAAAAGTTCAATTCACGACGGCATAGGCGTGTAATAAATTAAAAACAATGCGTCGTTCACAGCGAAATTCCACAGTCACGTTTAGCTCGCCTCTATTTTCTTGACGATGTTGGTGAATATATACAAAAACACGCTCGCGTGTAGCGCCGATCGAATCATGAAATGTGGAAATTTTACTTACAATTCAGTGCTAACAAAGTTGATTTTTTATTGTCACTTATTGATTATTTACATGCGCCGTGATTAGTGGTGGGCAAACCGTATTTTTTTTTTTCTATAAAATTATTCGAATATTTTAACGAACATCGGCGAAGATGTTAAAGACAACTATTAAGGAATGTATTCACAACAAAAATTAATTTTATTCTGATTTTTATCTTCTGTGTTGGATTTGTATCACAGTCACGGTCCCAATTTTGAGCAAACAATATTATCATTACTGACCCCGGGATGCGATATTTGTGGGTAGAACTTCTTATCCCTTTCCTTTCCCATGGATAAATATGTACCTAAATCCCATCCTATAATCAGAAATAACCGCACTTGACTTCATATTCTGAGCTATAGCTAACAGATATGCATTCCCAATAAGCATATGCTTGTAGTTAGTATGCTTCAACGTACCATACTTCGAAACCCAAAACCGAACACGAATCGAAAAATTAAAAGCCTCACTACGGCCAATTTCGCAACCGGCGCGGCCGAAGCAAGGGATTTTTGCAGCGAGCGATATAATTTCTCCATATGCAACGAACCATTTAGCTGGACGACGTAAAAAATGCAGGGCACAATGGATTTATGAGCAAATATTTGGATGTTTCCACTCATTGTATATATATATATATGCTCATTGGATCAACAGAGCAAAAATTTGCATTTTTTGTAATTTTCTAGTCATCTTTCATTGTAGACGTGTGCAGTCTTAAGGATAGAATATTTTTTATATACATTTTGACATTTTTATCATGATAACATAGTCAAGATTTTTGATAAGCGTTCATTGAAATTATAATGAGTGTGGTTTTACGCTGGCGTCTTTCTCACTATACCATGACATTCTGCCAACGCGTTGTGGTCTGTGAAATATGCGCCAGCGTGTTTCTTATTATGTGATAACAGAATACCGGGACCACAACATACCGTGTTTGACGTTTAAAGAAAGACCTATATTAGTTAGTGAAATTTAGCCGAAATGGCAGTCTGTTCACGTATGCAGTCAGATTCACTTTCCTTACTGGCTTTGCGCATATCCTACCAGTACAGCGAGCGACTTTTCTCTGAAGGCATGCTGACATGTTTTTTTTAACATAGTTAGGATACCGGTACTGTACCGTTATTTATTGTAATAGGTTGATAATTTTTTCTTTGATTTTGTATACAACTTATCCTATCGGGACCTATTTGCTAACATTTCCGTTATGATTTAGTTTTAACCCCCTTCTGCCCTTGGTACGGTACTGTTAGTTTAAATTAACTAACACGTCAGCATGGCTTCAGTAGATGGTTGCTAACTGAACAGGTATAAATGCGTAAAACCAGTAAACAAACGCGAGTGAAATGGTATATAGATAAAAGACTGTCAATGCCAAACGCTACCGGTACCCAAGGCGACATTATCGCTGCAGTTAGCGCGCATATTTCACAGGTTGGCAGAATGTCATTGTCTAGGACCCTAGGTGGAGTGACGTCAGCGGCTAACACCACGTCCATCAAAATTTTATTGTACGATTATCGAAAAACTTGACCATGTTTATCGTCAAAAAAATATGAAAGAATTTTTAAAAATCACTCTATATTTAAAACTGCTCACGTTTACAACAAAAGATAACTAAAAAATCATAAAAAAAAAAAATTTCTGCCCTGGTGATCACATTCCCTATAAGAGCCAATGTTAAAATTGTTTTGTTTAAGCCACTTTTATTTTTGCTTGTAGGATGGGTTTTGAATGACTAAGGTCTATTGAGACAAGCAAGCTGAAATCCAAAATCCCACAATACGCAACTTTTCAAACACAAGAGAATTGAAATGTGTCGTGAAATTATCAAGCATTTGCTCACCACAAAATATACAATTGAGATGTCAGATGGATCCAAATAGAGATGGAGGTTTTCTAAAAAAACACACTATAATCGCTAGAAATTTGCCGCATAAAATACCCAACATGCAAACCAATTATATTGACTACCAACTGTTTTTAGCCAAGGTCAACAACTAAATCGAATCTTATAATCATGTAATTGCCGACCACTGAAATAAACATGAACAAATAAGCACTACAGTAACAGTACTGAACTCTACAACATTAATTGTGTGAATAAAAACAATTCAAATATTTTCATCCAAATAAGACTTCTACATAACTATAGTAAGATACAATGAAATACAGTAAACTCACCTAGAATGTGTCACAAAAACAATCAAAATGCTGGACAGATTTACAAACTGCAGTTTAATAATCACGAGTTCAATACAGCAAGTATTAAACTATTGGCAAAGCTAAATAAGCATGGAACAAAATCATAATTAGCCGGGCAGCCCACTACTTTAATGACGTACTCTATGTATTATCAATATTATTTAATACATGTCTTATTTGTCTGCTTGGTTTGGAGAGGAGTCTTTTCAGAATTGTTCACGTTTGACCGGTGGTATACTGAGGTTACTGCCATAAGCATGGGGAGGGAAACCACAGAAGCAGTTAGAGGTACCAATATTGCAATAGTCTCGTTAAAAGTCTCCATCAAAACTCTTTCCACCATAATGAAAATACTCTGGAATACGAGCACAGGTATGTAATGAGCACACATCAATGTGACTTTCTCTGCAGGATAGGTAACCTCTGTTAAATATTCCACAAGAGTTACTTCCGAAAATCCACGCAGTCCCATCGTTAACGGATACAAAAATATGAGCGCTTTCAGACTCTTGAAATGATGTGCAAGTAATATAGAAATGCAGCTTGGTATAAGTCCAGCAATAGCTTAACATAAAATGAAGTATTTTTAAAGTTTGGAAAACTCATTAGTTTCAATTGAATCGCGTTCGAGATGATAATTTGCATTCCCTCTCTCATTCACATGTGGGGGTGGGCAAATTACGGCCCGTGGTCCGGATCCGGCCCACCGAAGTGTTTCATCCGGCCCACTTGTGTTTGTTGAAATTACGAGTATAGTTATTATGGATAAAAATTTACGATGAAAATAAAGTCATGATTGTTACCCCGATTGTTACATTGTGCTACTTATTATTACATAAAGCGTTAGCGTAATCTATTATCTGCTACTGGCCCACTCAGAAAGAATCGCCCACCCCATAGAGTGCTGTGATAAAAACGAAAAAGACGTACGTTCCAGCAGTGCTTTATGATTTTAACACCACGAATCAATGCGAAATGACCTAATTCTATATGTATATTATCACAATTTATACGCCAGGAATGAATATGTATATATATACATAGGGTTACCATATTTTGTGGCCTCAAAGCGGGGTGCCTCCAAAGACCATAGCCGTGATTTTACATCAAGGCGATACATTTAAAACCATCCCGGCTGTCTTCATTGACCATATTGGCATCGAGAGTTCATGCGCTGTCTGACTAAATATCGGTTACAGTTCGAAAATTAGAAAGGAATTTATATAAACGTTGAGCATCCTTTTGGCGTGAGGGGCTCGCACGTAACAAATTGTAGCCAATTATCCGCCAACATTCAACTAAACAAACAAAACCATGCATCAACCTTCAGTAAGTAAGCTACACAGCAACATCAGTATCGAGTACATGCTAATTGGTAATGTTTGTACATTATGCTGACTGGCTGAACGCCAAAGCGGGACTTTTGGCTGACCGGTCAGGACGCCGGGATAAGACACTGAAAACTGGGACTGTCCCGCCTAAAACGGGATGTATGGTAAGCCTATATATACATCAACTATATATACATGCTTTGAGACCAACGGACAAATTTATTGCAGCCTGTTTAGACCTGTAACAATTGTTCTTTAATGTATACTTACGCAAAGCACTAAATAACTTGTAACGTCCAAATCGATCCACTAGCGGCCCAGCTGCTACGGAGAAAAAAACAGCAAGCATATTGCCTGCAATTCTAATTGTTCCTGTGAGTGACTCTGGAACATCTGGAAACGTTTTCTTTAGTGACGATGAGATGAGAACTTTAGTCAATGCAAAATAAGATGTGTCAAGAGACACTATAATTGTTATCAAAACAAAGTTAATATTTCGATAATGTGATGCAGTTTTTTTCAGGCTTTCGAGAATGTTTTCCATACTCATTACAGTTTTTTTTTCATTTTTTTCGTTCAAAATTTTTTCTTGAGATGCACTTGGCGGACTTGGTGGGTGATCTTTCGCATATGAGCAGACAAATATGACGCAAATTAGCAAAAACAATGAAATAATTCCAAACCTATTGCAAAAACATTTCGAACTTTGTCAGAATCAAACTTTCCTTTCGAACTGTCGAGTACGTCATTCAATAGCAAGGGATATAGCAGAGATGATAACATTTGACCAGCATGAATTGCGCTGAATTCGATCGCAATTGACGTCCCGACTTCCTTTTCAGAAAACCAGTTTGCTGCCAAATTTACCGGAATGACGTATGATATTCCTGCCGAAATTCCGATGAAAATTTGTCCCATCAGAACGAAATAGTAGAAGTCGCTAAAAAAGATTTGACATATTTAGGAATTCGAGAATATATATGTATTTTTTCAAATGTCTGAAAAGCGGGAAATTATTGCCATTGTACAACACTCTTTGTCTTAATTCTGGCAAAAATATACCGAAAACAAATTATATATTCAACATGCTCTAATATATATGCTATGATTAAAAATTTAAAATTGCAATCACAGATGATCAATAATTAGAAATAAAATATTGTATTGTGATCACTGTGATGCTCGAGATCATACAATTTATCTTTTAACTAAGGTTTCATATGAATCCCATATTAGCTTTCATACTTATGTAGAAATCCTAATGTCACCGTTATTGAGCCCAAAAGTCCAGCAATTGTCAAAATGATACACTGTGCTCGAACTCTGATATGATTGTGAAATAATGCCATGACAACTAGAACGATGGATCCAACCAAAAACGTGGCACTCGGTAGCAAGTCAACTGAAGATGGTGAAATATTGAAGTATCTGGTAACTATGTTGTTGACGATTCCGTAAGCACATGATGAAAATTCGCTTGTGAAGATGGCAAAGAAAACAACAACAACAAAGCACCACCTAATTCTGTACAGTGTATATTCCATTATAATATCAACGTTTCCAAAATTTTAATCTGAGAATCAAAATTGATATTATAGGATACGAAGTATACATATGAATAGTTTTGCTAATTTGTTATGGTTGGTATTGCTGTTTTAAGAGAAAATATTTTCTCCGCAAATATTGAATCAAAGAAAGTCGAATTATAATAGCTTACTTCAAACGAGGTAAAGTCCCAACGACACAATTATCTTTATTTTCTATCTTATTTAATTCCTGTGTTAATCCCGATATTTCTTGCTCCAAACTCTTTATTGTAATTGATGGAAGCACTTTTCTACAACATAAAAGCACTTTCATTTGAGTTTTGTTTTCATAGTTTTGCTGTCTTGTTCATAAAATTACACAATTTGTATATAACATGTCATTAGTGACATAGGCCTACGTATTGTATTGCAAACAGTAAGTCAAAAAAGAAAATAACTAAAAAATTAAATAAAAATTGAAGCATTCCATAATAGGGTTATTCTACTTCTGGGCTCACCAGTGGCGTAGCAAGACTCTCGTGAACCCCCCCACGATTCCCTGGCATTGTTAGGTAACAAAACGATTCGAGCAGAACTAACATCAACGTTATAAGCTGTGCATTACTGGTTTGCAATGCAGCTTTTGGTTTTGCGGCTTTAATTTATAAATTTTAACCGCTTGAACCACTTTGCGCTGTGGGCCCTTCCGCGACCGCGGGGGTGGATGCTACGCCACTGGGACTCACCACGAAATAAAAAAATTTAGATTCTCTTGAGACTATGTAATTCCGCGCACTCACAACTGCAGTCACAGCTTGTGTACATTCCTATAATCTTATGAAGTAGAATTTTACAATTCCACACGTACTAACTGTCTGTAAGATAATACGGATGACTTGTATTCTTTCTTATATATAACAATAAAAGTCATTGCCGGAAGATTGACCTTGACAATACATAATAAATTTATTTTTCAGAGTAGCACGAGCGGAACTGTTTACGTTCGGCGAGGCATTGCAGCATCTGGAACATAAAGTTTAAGTGATCTCTATCACTCAGACATAATTTTATAAAGTAGAATCTTATAATTCCACACGTACTCATTGTATGTAAGAATATTACGGTAGACTTATATTTCTTCTTATACATAACAATCAAAGTCATAATAGGTAAATTGAACTTGACAATACATAACCAATTTATTTCTCAGGCTATAAGCACGTGCGCTTATGACTGAAACATAGAATTCGAGGAATCTCCATCACACAGACACGAGGTCAATGTTCCGATTTTAAGGTACATATCATTTCATAAGTTAAATAAGCCTTTGTGGCATGATTCAACAACCTTAAAACTATATTACCATGTATTGTTTTTAAATGTTTGAGGATATTAAGCTGGAATTATTATCGGGAAAAATATATGTTTGCTCGATTCGATCGTAAGCCTTTAGTGATAATTTGGCTAATAATTTTGGTAAAATCTTACTAAAATTTAGCACAATATATTTATGTTTTTCAAATTAATAATATAATAACCAAGTCAAACCCTATAAGTAAAGGTTAAACATGAGTAGCCAGTTTTAATATAAATTAACTCAGTTCCCCAGACCTGATTAAGACATTTTCATGCAATGGTTATTTAGTATACAAGCTGTACGTTGTTCATTGTTTGAAAATCTTTCCTCAACAACAAACCAACAACCACATGTTCAAATATTCCTTGTTAACCCGTAAGCCCGAACCTGGTTTACAAATCGTTGTCCAAAAAAATTAACATTTTAGAATTTGGATTAATTATAAAAATTGTTGAGACTTCTTTTATAACACCTCAGTTTCGAATAGGGATTTTCGTCCTCCCTGCTGACCTGCAGTCGCGTAGTCATGCTTCAAGATGGGTTATCATGGAATTATGTTCTGATGAATTTAATTCTATATATTATTTCAGAATTTTTGACGGTTACCAATTACACAAAGTCGACTTAGGTTTATACTTTTGAATTTTTAAAACCCGCATCAACAAAAGGCGATCACAGTTCAGAAACAGGTCTTTGATGACGCAGCACTGAAAGTCGTAAAACCCACCCTACGCGTAAAAATGAAAGTGGCATAAACAAAACAATTTTAACATTAGCTCTTATGGGGAATGTGATCACCGGAGCAGAAATTTGCATTTTTTGGTGATTTTCCAGTTATCTTTTGTTGTAAACGTGGGCAGTTTTATGTAGAGAGTGATTTTCAGATGTTTTTCGATAATCGTACATTAAAATTTTAATGGGCATGGTGTTTCCGCTGGCGTCTCTTCTACTAAATGGTTACTAGCTGTACAGGTATAAGTGTCGATTTTAAACGCGTCCAGTACCCAAGGCTACATTCAGACATTTCCACCGCAGTTGGTGCGCATGTTTCACAGACTATTTGGCAGAATTTGATGGTATAATGAGAGAGACGCCAGCGGAAACACCACGCCCATTAAAATTTCAATATACGATTATCAAAAATCTTGACAATGCTTATCAATATAAAAAAAAATCAAAAAAGATATAAAAATATCCTATATTTAAAACTGCACAAGTCTACAATGAAAGATAACTAGAAAAGTACAAAAAATGCAAATTTCTGCTCTGGCGATCAAATTCCCGTGAGAGCTAATGTTAAAATCGTTTTGTTCATGCCACTTTCATTTTTTTGCGCATAGGATGGGTTTTGAATGACTAAGGTCTATTACTGACTCTACGACTTTCAGTGCTGCGTCATCAAAGACCTGTTTCTGAACTGTGATCGCCTTTTGTCGATGCGGGTTTTAAAAATTCAAAAATATAAAACTAAGTCGACTTTGTGAAATATTAGATAGAATTATTCTGAAATATTGTATAGAATTAAATTCATCCAAACATAATTCCATGATAACCAACCTTGAAGAATGACTAAGCGACTGCAGGTCAGCAGGGAGGACGAAAACCCTTATTCAAAACTGAGGTGTTATAAAAACAGTCTCAACAATTTTTATGATTATCAAAATTCTAAAATGTTAAATTTTCCGACAACAATTTATAAACCAGGTTCGGGCTTACAGGTTAACAAGAAATATTTGAACTTGTGGTTGGTTTGTTGTTGGGGAAACAGTGAACAACGTACAGCTTATATACTAAATAACCATTGCATGAAAATATCCTAATCAGGTGTGGAACTGGGTTAATTTATATTAAAACTGGCTACTCATGTTTAACAGGCTTGGTTATTTGACTCGAACGAGTTTCGGCGTCTTATTTAAGTTAATTTGAGAAAGTCTTACTTATAGGGTTTGATTTGGTTAATATATTATTAATTTGAAAAACATAACTATTTTGTGCTAAATTTTTGTAAGTTTTTACCAAAATAGCCAAATTATCACTAAAGGTTACGATCGAATAGTGCAAACTTATAGATTTTCCAAAAATATTTCTAGCTTAATATCTTCAAAAATTCAAAAACAATACATGATAATATAGTTTTAAGATTGTTGAAGCATGCCACAAAGGCACATTTAACTTATGAAATGATATGTACCTTAAAGTCGAAACATTGACCCCGTGTCTGAGTGATACAGATTCCTTGAACTTTATGTTTCAGACATAAACGCACGTGCTTATAGCCTGGGAAATAAATTGGTTATGTATTGTCAAGTTCAATCTTCCTACAGTGGCTTTGATTGTTATGTATAAGAAGAAATACAAGTCTACCGTATTATTCTTACAGACAGTGAGTACCCGTGGAATTATAAGATTCTATCTTATAAGATTATAGGAATGTGCACAAGCTGTGACTACAGTTGTAAGTGTGCGGAATTAAATAGTCTCAAGGGAATCTAATTTTTTTTAGTTGATATTCCGATGTGAGCTCAGAAGTAGAATAACCCAATTACGGAATGCTTCAAATTTTTTTTTCAAATTGTATAATTATTTTCTTTTTTTGACCTACTAAGGATATTAAGTTGCAATGAAAGCCAAGGTCTGGTTTATGAACTGTTTGCAATACAATACGCATGTCACTAATTACATGTTTCATACAAATTGTGTAATTTTATGAACAAGACAGCAAGGCTGTGGAAACAAAACTCAAATGAAAGTGCTTTTATGTTATAGAAAAGTGTTTCCATCAATTACAATAAAGAGTTTGGGGCAAGAAATATCGGGTTTCACAGGATTTAAATAAGATGAAAAAAATAAAGATAATTGCGTCGTTGGGACTTTATCTCGTTTGAAGTAAGCTAGTATAATTCGACATTGTTTGATTCAATTGTGTCGGACAAAATATTTTCTCCCAAAACAGCAATACCAATCATAACAATTTAGCAAAACTATTTATATGTATACTTCGTATCCTATAATATCAATTTTGATTTTCAGACTTAAATTCCGAAAACGTTGATATTATAATGGAATATACACTGTACAGAATTAGGTGGTGCTTTGTTGTTAGTGTTTTCCTTGCCATCTTCACAAGCGAATTTTCATCATGTGCTTACGGAATCGTCAACAACATAGTTAGATAGATACTTAGCCAGATACTTCAACATTTCACCACCTTCAGTTGACTTGCTACCGTGTGCCACGTTTTTGATTGGATCCATCGTTCTAGTTGCCATGGCATTATTTCACAATCATATCAGAGTTCAAGCACAGTGTATCATTTTAACAATTTGTGGACTTCTGGGCGCAATAACGGTGACATTAGGATTTCTACATAAGTATGAAAGCTAATATGATATTCATATAAAACCTATGTTAAAAGATAAATTGTATGATCTCGAACATCACACACCACACCACAATATTTTGTTTCCAATTATTCATCATCTGTGATTGATATTTTAAATTTGAATCATAGCATATATATTAGGGCATGTTAAATATATAATTTGTTTCGGTATATTTTTGCCAGAATTAGGACAAAGAGTATTGTACATGGGCAATAATGTCCCGCTTTTCAGACATACATAAATATTCTCGAATTCCTAAATATGTCAAACCTTAGCGACTTCTACTATGTCGTTCTGATGGGACAAATTTTCATGGATATTTCGGCAGGAATATCATAGTCATTCCGGTGAATTTGGCAGCAAACTGGTTTTCTGGAAAAAGAAGTCGGGACTTCAATTGCGATCGAATTCAGAGCAACTTATGCTGGTCAAATATTATCATCTCTGCTTTATCCCTTGCTATTGAATGACGTACTCGAAAGTTCGAAAGGAAGGTTTGATTCTGACAAAGTTCGAAATGTTTTTGCAATGAGTTTTGAGATTATTTCATCGTTTTTGCTAATTTGCGTCATATTTGTCTGCTCATATGCCAAAGATCACCCACCAATGCAGTGCATCTCAAGAAAATTTTTTAAACGAATTAAATAAAAAAAGGAACTGTAATGAGTATGGAAAACATTCTCGAAAGCATGAAGAAAACTGCATCACATCACCGAAATATTAGTTTTGTTTTGGTAACAATTATAGTGTCTCTTGACACATCTTATTTTGCATTGACAAAAGTTATCATCGGATCGTCACTGAAGAAAACGTTTCCAGATGTTCCAGAGTCACTCCCAAGAACAATTAGAATTGTAGGCAACATGCTTGCTGTTTTCTTCTCCGTAGCAGCTGGGCCGCTAATGGATAGATTTGGACGGTACAAGTTATTTAGTGCTTTGCGTAAGTATACATTGAAGAAAAATTGTTATTGGTTTCCTGGTTGAAACAAGATGAAATAAATTTGTCCATTGGTCTCAATGGCAGCATATATATTGATGTATATATATATATATATATAAATGCATTCATGGCGTATAAATTGTGACAATATACATATGGAATTAAATCATTTTGTATTAGTAGTGGTTTTAAAGTCATAGAGCACTGCTGGAACGCTTGTCTTTTCAATTTTTATTACAGCACTCTATGGGGTGCGCGATTACTTTTCTGAGTGGGCCAGTCGCAGATAATAGACTAGGCTAACGTTTTATGTAACAATAAGAAGCACAATTTAACAATCGGGGGCATCATGACGTTATTTTCAACGTAATTTTATATCCATAATAACTATAGTCGTAATTTCAGCAGACACAAGTGGGCCGGATGAAACACTTTGGCGGGCCGTAATTTTCCCATCTCTACTATATGTGTATGAGGGAGGGAATTCCAAATTATTATCCCGAACGCGGTTCAATTGAAACTAGGTTTTCTAAACTTTAAAACTACTTTTTTTTTATTTCCAGCTATTGCTGGACTTATACCAAGCTGCATTTCTATATTACTTGCACATGTGCTTGAAAGCGCTCACATTTTTGTATCCGTTAACGATGGGACTGCGTGGATTTTCGGAAGTAACTCTTGTAGAATATTTAACAGAGGTTACCTATCCCGCAGAATAAGTAACATTGATGTGTGCTCATCACATACCTATGCTCGTGTTCCAGAGTATTTTCATTATGGTGGAAAGAGTTTTGATGGAGACTTTTAATGAGACTATTGCAATATTGGTACCTCTAGCTGCTTCTGTGGTTTCCCTCCCCATGCTTATGGCAGTAACCTCAGTATACCACCGGTCAAACGTGAAAGACTCCTCTCCAAACCAAGCAGACAAACAAGAGATGTATTAAATAATAATGATTATACATGGAGTAAGTCACTAATATAGTGGGCTGCCCGGCTAATTATGGTTTTGTTTCATGCTTATTTAGCTTTGCTAATAGTTTAATACTTCCTGCATTGAACTCGTGATTATTAAACTATAGTTTGTGAATCTGTCTTGCATTTTTATTGTTTTTGTGAAATATTCTCGGTGATTTTACTGTAGTTTATTGTATCTTACTAGTTATGTAGGAGTCTAATTTGATGAAAATGTTTATATTGTGTTTGTTTATATCTTCATCTGTTTCCGTAATCCATTTGGCTGCATCTGACATCTCGACTGTATATTTTGTGGTGAGCGAGTGCTTGATAATTTCACGACACATTACAATACTCCTGTGTTTGAAGTTGTGTATTGTGGGCTTGTGGATTTCAGCTTGCTTATCTCGATTGAATAGACGGGTATGCTCGATAGCAGTCCTAAGTTAACACCACCAATTGCAGGATACAGAATGTAATTCTTTTACAGTCTACCAGCATTTATAATTTTCATCCATAACAGGATACAAAATGTGTTTTTTTAAACCTACGGGCTTTCACAATTTTCTATCTACAACAGAATACGATGAATGAAGTAAAACGGTTTCATTATCTTTGAACCCACGTACATTTGCACCCAGGACAATTGCGCCTGCATACTTTTGCACTCACGGACATTTGAACCCATAAACAATGGATCTTTCCCTTAGCATCGACTTCCTTGTTTGCTTCGTGACATTAGCCAATGAGCAAGATGCAAAAAGTGACGTAACAATGCTCCCTTTTTGCATCCGCTCAGACACTTTTCTCACTCAGACAGATTTTCAAACGTGTCGTAAACATTACCTCGTTCTCGCGTTTCTGAACTCTATTCGATAAGTTTTCTGTTGTGTTTCGGAAACCTAAATATAAATCAGATATTTCAATGATCATCACTCTGTCTTCCTAGGAGTTTTAATTTAATTGCAGTAATAAAAATTTAGTTTAGAAATAGCTATGATAGACTAGGCTAAAATTCTTTACCGGTACTTTTAAAAACAGATTGTTGTATGCGATGAAACATAATGATGGTTTGAAACACATACCCCATTGTACAGGCGCCAACTCGCAAAAGCACTCTTAAAATAGCCCCGAAAATTTTGCAATGGTAAAGTATGGGAAGAATTTTTCGGGGGTCAAAGGTCGGGGAAAGGTCCATTGTACCCATACCTTGCTCCCCCAGATTTTTGCACCCACATACAGATTGCGCCTATGTACATTTGCACCCACGGACATTTGCCCCCACGGACATTTGGAGCCATGTACATTTGCACCCACGGACATTTGCACTCATGAAAATTTGCATCCACGGACATTTGGACCCATGTACATTTGCACCCGTGGACATTTGCACCCATGAACATTTGCACTCACAGATATTCGGATCTATGGACACTTCCACCCATCGAATTTTTCACCCCTAAACACATACATGGAGAACACACTATGAAGTTAAAGAGGTTCTATTGCCATCTGCTCCGAAATAGCGACATCCTAATGTTATGCATAGTAATGAAGACGAACTCACTGCAAACCCGAAGGGATTAATTTGAATTTTATCCATTAACACAGATCGAGGAAAACAACCTGCATTGGTGTAGATACCATTATGACGCAATAATACAAGAGTAGAAAGTGCTGTAAATAACTTGTTCCAAAATCATGCTTTCGTCCAGTCGAAGACGTTTCTCGCTCTTTGTTTTTCTCTTATCTATTCGTCTTTCTCAAAGCACCTCTCTCTTGTCTTGTACAATTGATTTAACAATGACTTGATTAATTCATGTACGACCACTTTTCTTTCCCATCGTCCACTAACCACCGTACATTCGACTACGTTTGCGTTATTTCATCGAAAGAAAATGACCGATAAAAGTGGGAAAGGATCATAACTCGCAATGACAGTAAAAACGTAGCGACCATCACCGAGAATAGGGGGTACTTAAAATTTGTAGTACGTGGATGCAGATGTGTATGGGTGCAAATGTCCATTAGTGAAAATGCACATGGGAGCAAATGTACGTGGGTGCAAATGTACATGGGTGGGTGCAAATGTATGTGGGTGCAAATATACGTGGGTGCAGATGTCCGCGGGTGGAAGTGTCCACCGTGGGTGCGAATGTACATGGATGCAAATGTTCGTAGATGCAAATGTTCATGGGTGCAATCTGTATGTGGGTGTAAAAATCTGGGGGTGCAATTATTCATGGGTTCGAATGTCCGTGAGTGCAAAAATATGCAGGTGCAATTGTCCTAGGGGCAAATGTACGTGGGTTTAAAGATAATGAACCGTTTTACTTTATTCATCGGCATCCTGTTGTAGATAGAAAATTGTAAAAGCCCGTAGGTTTAAAAAAACCCACATTTAGTAACCTGTTATAGATGAAAATCATAAATGCTGGTAGACTTTAAAAAAAACTACATTCTGTATCATGCTAACAGATGCCATATCGAATGCCGGGGTGAATGTTAGACAACTGGTGGTGTTAACTTAGGACGGCTATCGAGCATACCGGACTGATAAGCAAGCTGAAATCCACAAGCCCACAATACGCAAATTTAAACACAGGAGAATTGTAATGTGTCGTGAAAGTATCAAGCACTTGCTCACCACAAAATATACAATCGAGATGTCAGATGCAGCCAAATGGAATACGGAAACAGATGACGAATATCGATGTGGGTTTTCTAAAGAAAACAAAACGCACTATAATCGTTAGGAATTAGCCGCATAAAATAACCAACATGCAAACAAATTCTATTGTTCACCAACTGTTTTTAGCCAAGGTAAACAAATTAATCGAATCTTATATTTATATAAATGCAGAACACTGAAATAAACATGAACGGTACTGAACGGTACAAACAGTACTGAACCCTACAATACAATACAAACATTTTCATCCAAATGAGACTCTTACATAACTAAGATACAATTAAATACAGTAAAATCACAGAGAATACTTCACAAAAACAATCAAAATGCAAGACAGATTCACAAACTAGAGTTTAATAATCACTAGTTCAATGCAGGAAGTATTAAACTATTAGCAAAGCTAAATAGGCATCAAACAAAATCATAATTAGCCGGGCAGTCCACTATATTAGTGACTTACTCTATGTATAATCATCATTATTTAATACATCTCTTATTTGTCTGCTTGGTTTGGAGAGGAGTCTTTTCATAACTGTTCACGTTCGACCGGTGGTATACTGAGGTTACTGCCATAAGCATAGGGAGGGAAACCACAGAAGCAGTTAGAGGTACCATTATTGCAATAGTCTCATTAAAACTCTCCATCAAAACTCTTTCCACCATAATGAAAATACTCTGGAACACGAGCATAGGTATGTAATGAGCACACATCAATGTGACTTTTTCTGCAGGATAGGTAACCTCTGTTAAATATTCCACAAGAGTTACTTCCGAAAATCCACGCAGTCCCATCGTTAACGGATACAAAAATGTGAGCGCTTTCAGGCACTTGTAATGATGTGCAAGTAATATAGAAATGCAGCTTGGTATAAGTCCAGCAATAGCTGAAAATCAAAAGAACTAGCTTCAAAGTTTAGAAAACTTATTAGTTTCAATTGAACCGCGTTTGGGATAATAATTTGGCACTGCCTCCCTCATTCACATATAGTACAGGTGGGCAAATGAAGGCCCGCGGGCCGAAACCGGCCCACCAAAGTGTTTCATCCGGCCAACTTGTGTCTGCTGAAATTACGACTATAGTTATTATGGATATAAATCTACGTTGAAAATAACGTCATGATGCCCCCGATTGTTACATTGTGCTTCTTATTATTACATAAAACGTTAGCCTAGTCTATTATCTGCGACTGGCCCACTCAGAACAGTAATCGTGCACCCCATAGAGTGCTGTAATAAAAACTAAAGGACGAACGTTCCAGCAGTGCTCTATGACTTTACCACCACTACCAGTACGAAATCACTTAATTCTATATGTATATTGTCACAATTTATACGTCATGATGCATTTATATATATATATATACATCAACTATATATGCTGCCATTGAGACCAATGGACAAATTTATTGCATCCTGTTTAAACCAGAAAACCAATAACAATTGTTCTTCAATGTATACTTACGCAAAGCACTAAATAACTTGTAACGTCCAAATCTATCCATTAGCGGCCCAGCTGCTACGGAGAAGAAAACAGCAAGCATGTTGCCTACAATTCTAATGGTTCCTGGGAGTGTCTCTGGAACATCTGGAAACGTTTTCATCAGTAACGATGTGACGAGAACTTTTGTCATTGCAAAATAAGATGTGTCAAGAGACACTATAATTGTTATCAAAACAAAGTTAATATTTCGGTAATGTGATGCAGTTTTCTTCAGGCTCTCGAGAATGTTTTCCATACTCAATACAGTCCTTTTTTGATTTATTTCGTTCAAAATTTTTTCTTGAGATGCACTTGGCGGACTTGGTGGGTGATTTTTGGCATATGAGCAGACAAATATGACGCAAATTATCAAAAACGATGAAATAATTCCAAAACTCATTGCAAAAACATTTCGAACTTTGTCAGAATCAAACCTTCCTTTCGAACTGTCCAGTACGTCATTCAATAGCAAAGGATATAGCAGAGATGATAACATTTGACCAGCATGAATTGCACTGAATTCGATCGCAATTGACGTCCCGACTTCTTTTTCAGAAAACCAGTTTGCTGCCAAAATTGGCGGAATGACGTATGATATTCCTTCCGAAATTCCGATGAAAATTTGTCCCATCAGAACGAAATAGTAGAAGTCGCTAAAAAAGGTTTGACATATTTAGAAATTTGAGAATATATGTGTATTTTTTTCAAATGTCTGAAAAGCGGGACTTTATTGATATTGTACAACACTTTTTGTGTTTATTCTGGTAAAAATATACCGAAAACAAATTATATATTTAACATGTCCCAGTATATAAGCTATGATTCGAATTTAAAATATCAATCACAGATGATCAATAATTGGAAATAAATATTCAACAAAATATAGTGGTGTGGTGTGTGATGTTCGAGATCATACAATTTATCTTTTACGTAGGTTTTATATAAATCTCATATTAGCTTTAATACTTATGTAGAAATCCTATTGCCACCGTCATTGCGCCCAAAAGTCCACCAATTGTTAAAATGATACACTGTGCTCGAACTCTGATATGATTGTGAAATAATGACATGACAGCCAGAACGAGGGATCCAACCCAAAACGTGGCACTCGGTAGCAAGTCAACCGAAGATGGTGAAATATTGAAGTATCTGGCAACTATGTTGTTGACGATTCCGTAAGCACATGATGAAAATTCGCTTGTGAAGATGGCAAGGAAAACAACAACAACAAAGCACCACCTAATCCTGTATAGTTCGTATTTCATTATAATATCAACGTTTTCAATATTTAAGTCTGAGAATCAAAATTGATATTATAGGACACAAAGTATACATATAAATAGATTTGCTAAATTGTTATGGTTGGTATTGCGGTTCAAGGAAAAAATATTTTCTCCGACACTATTGAATCAAACAATGTCAAATTATAGTAGCCTACTTCTAACCAGGTAAAGTCACAACGACGCAACTATTTCTATTTTTCATCTTCCCTAATTGCTGTAAAACCCGATATTTCTTGCCCCAAATTATTTATTGTAATTGATGGAAGCACTTTTCTATAACACAAAAGCACTTTCATTTGAGCTTTGTCTCCATAGCATTGCTGTCTTGTTCATGAAATTACACAATTTGTATAAAACATGTTATTTGTAACATACGTATTGTTTTGCAAACAGTTCATAAACCAGGTCTTGGCTTTCACTTCAACTTAATATCCTTAGTAAGTCAAAAAAGAAAATACCTATATATACAAATAAAAAATATCTGAAGCATTCCGTTATTGGGTTATTCTACTTCTGAGCTCACATCGGGATATCAAATAAATAATTTAAGATTTCCTGAGACTATGTAATTCCGCACACTTACAACTGCAGTCCCAGCTTGTGCACATTCCTATAATCTTATAAAGTCGAATACTATAACTGTGCACATTCCTATAATCTTATAAAGTCGAATACTATAATTCCACACGCATTCACTGTCTGTAAGAATAACACGGAAGACTTGTATTACAAAACAACAATCAAAAGTTTCGGAAGTAAGGAAGATACAGGAAGTGCAAAAAGATCTTGACACAACATATTAAATTTATTTTCCAGACTATGAGAACGTGCGGAACTGTTTATGTTCGGCTACGCATTGAAGTATCTGGATCCGTCTGGAACATAAAGTCGTAAGTGATCTCTATCACTCAGACTGGAGGTTAATGTTTTAATTTTAAGGTACAATATCATTTTGTAAGTTGAATAAGTCTTTGTGGCATGCTTCAACAATCTTTAAACTATATTATCATGTATTGTCTTTAAATGTTTGAGGATATTAGGCTGGAATTATTTTTAGAAAAAATATATGCTTGCTCGATTCGATCGTAAGCCTTTAGTGATAATTCGGCTATTTGAAATCTTAACTAAAATTTAGCACAATATAGTTATGTTTTTCAAATTAATAATATAATAACCAAGTCAAACCCTATAAGTATGACTTTCCTAAATTAACTTAAATTAAACGCAAAAACTAGTTCGACTCAAATAACCAAGCCTGTTCAACATGAGTAGCCAGTTTTAATATGAATTAACCCAGTTCCACACCTGATTAGGACATTTTCACGCATTGGTTATTTAGTATATACGGTAAGCTGTACGTTGTTCACCGTTTGAATAACCTTTTCCTCAACAACAAATCAACCACAAGTTCGAATATTTCTTGTTAACCTGTAAGCCCGAACCTGGTTTACAAATCGTTGTCCGACAAAATTAACATTTTAGAATTTGGATTAATTATAGAAATTGTTGAGACTTCTTTTATAACACCTCAGTTTCGTCCTCCCTGCTGACCTGCAGTCGCGTAGTCATGCTTCAAGATGGGTTATCATGGAATTATGTTTTGATGAATTTAATTCTATATAATAATTCAGAATTTTTGACGGTTACCATTTACACAAAGTCGACCTAGGTTTATACTTTTGAATTTTTAAAACCCGCATCAACAAAAGGCGATCACAGTTCAGAAACAGGTCTTTGATGACGCAGCACGTCGTAAAACCCACCCTACGAGCAAAAATGAAAGTGGCATAAACAAAACAATTTTCAACATTAGCTCTTATGGGAATGTGATCACCGGAGCAGGATTTTGCATTTTTCGTGATTTTTCAGTTATCTTTTGTTGTAAACGTGGGCAGTTTTATGTATAGAGTGATTTTTAGATGTTTTTCGATAATCGTACATTAAAATTTTAATGGGCGTTGTGTTTCCGCTGGCGTCTCTCCTACTAAATGGTTGCTAGCTGTACAGGTATAAGTGTCGATTTTGAACGCGTCCAGTACCCAAGGCTACATTCAGACATTAGCACCGCAGTTGGCGCGCATATTTCACAGACTATAACGGTTTGGCAGAATGTCATGGTATAGTGAGAGAGACGCTAGCGGAAACACCACGCCCATTAAAATTTCAATGAACGATTAGCAAAAATCTTGACAATGCTTATCAATATAAATCAATCAAAAAAGATATAAAAATATCCTATAATTAAAAGTCTACAATGAAAGATAACTAGAAAAGTACAAAAAATGCAAATTTCTGCTTTGGTGATCATATTCCCGTGAGAGCTAATGTTAAAATCGTTTTGGTCATGCCACTTATTTTTTTGCGCATAGGATGGGTTTTGAATGACTAAGGTCTATTACTGACTCTACGACTTTCAGTGCTGCGTCATCAAAGACCTGTTTCTGAACTGTGATCGCCTTTTGTCGATGCGGGTTTTAAAAATTCAAAAGTATAAAACTAAGTCGACTTTGTGAAATATTATATAGAATTATTCTGAAATATTATATAGAATTAAATTCATCAAAACATAATTCCATGATAACCCACCTTGGAGCATGACTAAGCGACTGCAGGTCAGCAGGGAGGACGAAAACCCTTATTTAAAACTGAGGTGTTATAAAAAAAAGTCTCAACAATTTTTATGATTATCAAAATTCTAAAATGTTAATTTTTTCGGACAACAGTTTGTAACCCAGGGTCGGGCTTACAGGTTAACAAGAAATATTTGAACTTGTGGTTGGTTTGTAGTTGGGGAAACAGTGAACAACGTACAGCTTATATACTAAATAACCATTGCATGAAAATGTCCTAATCAGGTGTGGAACTGGGTTAATTTATATTAAAACTGGCTACTCATGTTTAACGGGCTTGGTTATTTGACTCGAACGAGTTTCGGCCTCTTATTTAAGTTAATTTAAGAAAGTCTTACTTATAGGGTTTGACTTCGTTAATATATTATTAATTTGAAAAACATAACTATTTTGTGCCAAATTTTTGTAAGTTTTTACCAAAATAGCCAAATTATCACTAAAGGCTTACGATCGAATCGTGCAAACTTATACATTTTCCGAAAACATTTCCAGCTTAATATCCTCAAAAATTTAAAAACAATACATGATAATATAGTTTCAAGATTATTGAAGCATGCCACAAAGGCTCATTTAATTTATGAAATGATATGTACCTTAAAATCGAAACATTCACCCCGTGTCTGAGTGATAGAGATTCCTTTAACTTTATGTTTCAGACATAAACGCACGTGCTTATAGCCCGGGTAATAAATTGGTTATGTATTGTCAAGTTCAATCTTCCTGCAGTGGCTTTGATTGTTATGTATAAGAAGAAATACAAGTCTACCGTATTGTTCTTACACACAATGAGTACGTGTGGAATTATATGGTTCTACTTTATAAAATTATGTTTGAGTGATATTGATCACTTAAACTTTATGTTCCAGATGCTGCAATGCCTAACCGAACGTAAACAGTTCCGCATGTGCTAGTCTGAAAAATAACTTTATTATGTATTGTCAAGTTCAATCTACCAGCAATGACTTTGATTGTTATATATAAGAAAGAATACAAGTCATCCGTATTATTCTTACAGACAGTGAGTACCCGTGGAATTATAAGATTCTATCTTATAAGATTATAGGAATGTGCACAAGCTGTGACTACAGTTGTAAGTGTGCGGAATTAAATAGTCTCAAGGGAATCTAAATTTTTTGTTTGATATTCCGATGTGAGCTCAGAAGTAGAATAACCCAATTACGGAATGCTTCAAATTTTTTTTTTTTAAATTGTATAATTATTTTCTTTTTTTGACCTACTAAGGATATTAAGTTACAATGAAAGCCAAGGCCTGGTTTATGAACTGTTTGCAATAAAATACGCATGTCACTAATTACATGTTTTATACAAATTGTGTAATTTTATGAACAAGACAGCAAGGCTATGGAAACAAAACTTAAATGAAAGTGCTTTTATGTTATAGAAAAGTGTTTCCATCAATTACAATAAAGAGTTTGGGGCAAGAAATATCGGGTTTCACGGGAATTAAATAAGATGAAAAAAATAAATATAATTGCGTCGTTGGGACTTTATCTCGTTTGAAGTAAGCTACTATAATTCGACATTGTTTGATTCAATTGTGTCGGACAAAATATTTTCTCCCAAAACAGCAATACCAATCATAACAATTTAGCAAAACTATTCATATGTATACTTCGTATCCTATAATATCAATTTTGATTTTCAGACTTAAATTCCGAAAACGTTGATATTATAATGGAATATACACTGTACAGAATTAGGTGGTGCTTTGTTGTTAGTGTTTTCCTTGCCATCTGCACAAGCGAATTTTCATCATGTGCTTACGGAATCGTCAACAACATAGTTAGATAGATACTTAGCCATTTACTTCAACATTTCACCACCTT